ATTCGTTGAATCGAGTGGTCCTTCGTATTGTTCCGAGATTGGATAGTCAAGATGAGATGGTGACTTCTTGAACAATCCAGTGATCTTGGACTTTAACGATGGCTCATCCTTCTTCTCGGATTCTTCAACAACAACTGGAATAACGTGTTCTGGCAGCTTCTCGTAGCTGAATTCCGTTGGATAGGAGCTGACTTCGGTTGTGAGAGGAATGTCGTGGATGTTGGAAGCACGATGAGTTGAATCGAGTGGTCCTTCGTATTGTTCCGAGATTGGATAGTCAAGATGAGATGGTGACTTCTTGAACAATCCAGTGATCTTGGACTTTAACGATGGCTCATCCTTCTTCTCGGATTCTTCAACAACAACTGGAATAACGTGTTCTGGCAGCTTCTCGTAGCTGAATTCCGTTGGATAGGAGCTGACTTCGGTTGTGAGAGGAATGTCGTGGATGTTGGAAGCACGATGAGTTGAATCGAGTGGTCCTTCGTATTGTTCCGAGATTGGATAGTCAAGATGAGATGGTGACTTCTTGAACAATCCAGTGATCTTGGACTTCAACGATGGCTCATCCTTCTTCTCGGATTCTTCAACAGCAACTGGAATAACGTGTTCTGGCAGCTTCTCGTAGCTGTATTCAGTTGGATAGGAGCTGACTTCGGTTGTGAGAGGAATGTCGTGGATGTTGGAAGCACGATTAGTTGAATCGAGTGGTCCTTCGTATTGTTCCGAGATTGGATAGTCAAGATGAGATGGTGACTTCTTGAACAATCCAGTGATCTTGGACTTTAACGATGGCTCATCCTTCTTCTCGGATTCTTCAACAACAACTGGAATAACGTGTTCTGGCAGCTTCTCGTAGCTGAATTCCGTTGGATAGGAGCTGACTTCGGTTGTGAGAGGAATGTCGTGGATGTTGGAAGCGCGATGAGTTGAATCGAGTGGTCCTTCGTATTGATCGGATACTGGATAGTCAAGATGAGATGGTGACTTCTTGAACAATCCAGTGATCTTGGACTTTAACGATGGCTCATCCTTCTTCTCGAATTCTTCAACAACAACTGGAATAACGTGTTCTGGCAGCTTCTCGTAGCTGAATTCCGTTGGATAGGAGCTGACTTCGGTTGTGAGAGGAATGTCGTGGATGTTGGAAGCACGATGAGTTGAATCGAGTGGTCCTTCGTATTGATCGGATACTGGATAGTCAAGATGAGATGGTGACTTCTTGAACAATCCAGTGATCTTGGACTTCAATGACTGTTCATCCTTCTTCTCGGATTCTTCAACAACAACTGGAATAACGTGTTCTGGCAGCTTCTCGTAGCTGTATTCAGTTGGATAGGAGCTGACTTCGGTTGTGAGAGGAATGTCGTGGATGTTGAAAGCACGATGAGTTGAATCGAGTGGTCCTTCGTATTGATCGGATACTGGATAGTCAAGATGAGATGGTGACTTCTTGAACAATCCAGTGATCTTGGACTTCAACGATGGCTCATCCTTCTTCTCGGATTCTTCAACAACAACTGGAATAACGTGTTCTGGCAGCTTCTCGTAGCTGAATTCAGTTGTATAGGAGCTGACTTCGGTTGTGAGAGGAATGTCGTGGATGTTGGAAGCACGATGAGTTGAATCGAGTGGTCCTTCGTATTGTTCCGAGATTGGATAGTCAAGATGAGATGGTGACTTCTTGAACAATCCAGTGATCTTGGACTTCAACGATGGCTCATCCTTCTTCTCGGATTCTTCAACAACAACTGGAATAACGTGTTCTGGCAGCTTCTCGTAGCTGTATTCAGTTGGATAGGAGCTGACTTCGGTTGTGAGAGGAATGTCGTGGATGTTGGAAGCACGATGAGTTGAATCGAGTCGTCCTTCGTATTGATCGGATACTGGATAGTCAAGATGAGATGGTGACTTCTTGAACAATCCAGTGATCTTGGACTTCAATGACTGTTCATCCTTCTTCTCGGATTCTTCAACAACAACTGAATAACGTGTTCTGGCAGCTTCTCGTAGCTGAATTCAGTTGGATAGGAGCTGACTTCGGTTGTGAGAGGAATGTCGTGGATGTTGGAAGCACGATGAGTTGAATCGAGTGGTCCTTCGTATTGTTCCGAGATTGGATAGTCAAGATGAGATGGT